AAGATGTTTAAAGGGAAGAGAAGTGAAAAAAAAAAGAACATTTACAAAGGAAAGCTTGGTATGTTTGTGGTTTGAAATAATATGAAACAGTATAAAATAATATGAGCAAGAAAATTGAAGAAAAAAATAGCCATACCAGAAGAATTTGAGAAAAAAAGCAGGAATCAGAAGCTGTTGGGGGTTTGGAGCATAAAGGGGATACAACACCAAAAAAAAAAGAAAAAGAAAAAAGAAAAACAGAAACACCAAACCCATTGCCATCAAGTAATTTCCTACTTATAGCAACCCTATAGGACAGAGTAAAACTGCCCATAGGGTTTCCGAGGAGGAGCCAGTGGATTCGAACTGCCGACCTTTTGGTTAGCAGCCGAGGTTTTAACCATTGTGCAGTCGTAGTCAAATATGGCTTCAAGTTTGTGCGTTTAGGGGATAGCAGAATAAATTTTGGCATTATCATTGCTTTAGGATAAGGGCTAAGAAGTATAACTCCTTCTCGGGTCAGTCCCTAGAAAAGAGTTGACTAATAAATGCAGTGGAGCCCTGGTGGCACAGTGGTTAAGGGCTCAGCTGCTAACCAAAAGGTTGGCAGTTCAAATCCACCAGCTGCTCCTTGGAAACCCTATGGGGCAGTTCTCTGTCCTATAGGGTCGCTATGAGTCGGAATCAACTCGACAGCAAGGGGATGAGGTTTAATAAACGCGATGGTAAAATTTTTGCTGTGGGATGCTTTTGGAATAAGTTTCTTCCCTACGATTGCCTAAGGAGATATTTTCACTAGGGGTAAAATATACATTGTTGTTTCTTTTAAAGACTATAGGTATTTGGATGTGATGTAAAATATTGATGTGTTTTTAGAAAAACTGAAATAGTTTAGGGGAAGAAAAGTTAGATGTATAAAGATGTTTTCAGAAATTAGAGGGCTTAGCTTTGTTAGAATTGCTGTTTTTGGATGGAGTTTCCTTTTTAAAACTTAACCTCAAGGTCAGGTTGTATTTCTGGTCTTGTTAATTCAACATGTCTGCTTGTTAATTTAATAGGTGACAGTAGTCATAGGCATTTGGGGAATTTTTTTTTTTTTATTGTGCTTTAGGTGAAACTTTACAGTTCAAATTAATTTCTCATACAAAAATTTATACACATATTGTTATGTGACACTAATTGCAATCCCTGTAATGTGACAGTACATTCCCTCTTTCCACCCCAGGTTTCCCATGTCCATCCAACCAGCTCCTGTCCCTTTCTGCCTTCTCATCTTGTCTCCGGACGGGAGTTGCCCATTTGGTCTCATGTATCTGCTAGAACTAAAAAGCATACCTTCGCGAGTATTATTTTATGTTTTATAGTCCAGTCTAATCTTTTGTCTGAAGAGTGGGCTTCAGGAATGGTTTTAGTTCTGGATTAACAGAGCATCTGGGGGCCATGGCTTCGAGGGTTCCTCCAGTCTCAGTCAGACCATTAAGTCTGGTCTTTTCACTAGAATTTGAGTTCTGCACCCCACTTTTCTCCTGCTCCATCAGGGACTCTGTTGTGTTCCCTGTCAGGGTGGTCATTGGTGGTAGCTGGACACTATCTAGTTCTTCTGGTCTTAGGCTGATGGAGTCTCTGGTTTATGTGGCCCTTTTGTCTCTTGGGCTAATATTTTCCTTGTATCTTTGGTGTTCTTCATTCTCCTTTGCTCCAACTGGGTTGGGACAAATTGATGCATCTTAGATGGCCGCTCGCAAGCTTTTAAGACCCCAGACGCCACTCACCAAAGTGGAATGCAGAACATTTTCTTAATAAATTGTGTTATGCCAGTTGACCTAGAAGTCCCCCGAAACCATGGTCCCCAGACCCCAGCCCCTGCTACTCTGTCCTTCGAAGTGTTTGGTTGTGTTCAAGAAACTTCTTAGGTTTTGGTTTAGTCCAGTTGTGCCGACTTCCTCTGTATTGTGTGTTGTTCTTCCCTTCACCTAAGATGATTCTTGTCCACTATCTAGTTAGTGAATTCCCATCTTCCTCCCATACAGAAGGTATGTAGGGTGGTTTCTTAGACCTTCCCTACTCTGGTGTCTTAGCCTATCAGACAAGAGGCAGAAATCTAGAAAGATACAAAAGACATCTTTGGCTTTCTCTGTGTCAACCTTTCGTCTCCCGTCCCAGTTGCTCAGAACATACCCTTCTGTAGCTTCCTGCAGCATTGAACACTTTTGCTACATTGTTAACATACACAGTATAATAAGGAAGAGTGGACTTAGCCTAGATAGCACAACCTGCACTTCTCAAGCACTAACTGTACGTCTGATACTGTGCTTGACTCTGCGCACACAAACGTGAACAACACATGATCCCTGTCCTGAGAAACTCACAGTAGAGCAGTTGGGTGGTAAACGTTTACAATTTACAGTAAATGCCTTTATAGAGGTACTTGAAGAGGAAGTTTTCCATTTGATAGTCTTGACTAGATACAAAAATTTTGTATATAGCCAAAAAAGTAATGCTAGCATGCATGGCCTTTCTTCATAGACATTAAACCCTGTCTTCTGGAATTGCATGCTTCTATATTTTTTTTAGAATTGTACTTCTTACAAAGAGGAAATAAAATGCTTGTTTTAAAAATATTCTTTGACCAGTTTATAGTTATCAGATTGACAGGGCATTTTTTGGTAATACGTTGAAGTAGATATCCCTTTATTTTAAGTTGCTCAAATTTTATATTTAAATATTAATATTATTAAAAAGAGTATCCCTTTTAGTCCAAAAGTCTTCTGATTCTCAATGTTTTATTTAGTTAAGCTATATTTTTCTCCCGATCTCCATTTTGAGTACTTTCAAAAGAAAATTTATTTCCTAGCGCTTAACTCTTTTGCTGTATAGAAAAATGTTATGTAAGAATCCATTGGCAAAATCCCTTTAGACGATAACAAGATACATTTTTTTCCTTGCTTTTTTTATTGTGCCTTGTTAAACTGGTCTCACACACATGAACTTTCTTAACATCAGGCAGTTCCTGCTTCCTATGGGACTTCCTGTTTTCTCAAATAAAAATAGAAAAGCATCTCAAAAAGGAAACCTGGTTAGCATGAACTACGTTACTTTGTAGGATCAGTTAGTCTTAACTGTGGCCTGGATTGTAGAGACCAGGGTATCTGAAAGTTTTGAATGTCTTTGCATGTAATATGAAAATAAAAGAGATGATAAGGAAGAGTGTCTTAGTTATCTAGTGCTGCTATAACAGAAATACCACAAGTGGACGGCTTTAACAAAGAGAAATTTATTCTCTCACAGTCTAGTAGGCTACAAGTCCAAATTCAGGGTGTCAGCTCCAGGGGAAGGCTTTCTCTGTCAGCTCTGGAGGAAGGTGCTTGTGATGTATCTGTCTTCCCTTGGTCTAGGAGCTTCTCTGCACAGGAACCTCATGTCCAAAGGACGCACTCTGCTCCAGGCATTGCTTTCTTGGTGGTATGAGGTCCCCATGTCTCTCTGCTCACTTTTCTCTTTTGTATCTCAAGAGATTGGCTTAAGACACTAATCTTGTAGACCTCATCAGTATAATTGCTGCTAATCCATCTTATTACATCATAGTGATAGGATTTATAACACATAGGGAAATCAATCTTACAATACTGGGAATCATGACCTAGCCAAATTGACAGACATTTTTGGGGGACAAAATTCAATCCATGACAAAGAGGTCCTTAATAATAACCACAAGAGATGTTAAATATTCAGCAGTAAACTTATTTGTCTCTTTTTGTGGGGAGGGATGTGGGAGTTTGGGTGGAAAAGTAGTAAATCCTTTCCTTATAATTTAATATTTTCTTGGAAATTAGAATTGTTTAATACTGAGAATTAATTTCTAGCTACTTTGATCTGTACATTTTTTTCTTGCCACTTTTCCAGATGTTAGCAAGGATTAGGAAGTTTGTGTTGTTTATAATTAGAATTCAGAATTCTAAATGAATTATTCAGTTTTAAAGAATCTTGTAGATTTCTCAAGTTGTTGATTCCTTTAGTCTGTATTTTGAAGAGAAATCAAATTAAAGTGAAAACAAATGATACAGTCATCAGCAGTTACAATGATGTTGTTGTGTGCTGTCGAGTCAGTTCCTACTCCTAGTGACCCAATAGGACAGAGTAGAACTGTCCCATAAGGTTTCCTAGGCTGGAATCTTTATGGAAGCAGAGTGCCACATCCTTCTCCCAAGAAGCAGCTGGTAGGTTCAAACTGCTGACCTTTTAGTTAGCAGCCAGTGCTTAACTGTTGCGCTACCAGTGCTCCTTAGTAATGATAATCAAACCAAGCCCGTTGCTGTCTAGTCGATCCAGACTCATAGCAACCCTATAGGACAGAGCAGTGCTGCCCCATAGGGTTTCCAAGGCTGTAATCTTTATGGAAGCAGGCTGACACATCTTTCTCCTTTGGAGTTGCTGGTAGGTTTGAACCGCTGACCTTTCAGTTGGCAGCCAAGCACTTTAACTACTGTGCCACCGGGGCTCCTTAAGTAATAACAATAGGTAGCATTAATTGAGTGCCTATTACCTGCCAGGCACTATGCCAAGGTTTTATATGGTTTATCTAATTTAATCCTCAGCTACTTCAGCTGCTATGAAAGGTCAGTGGTTCGAGCCCACCAGTGGCTCCTGGTTTGGCTACTTAAAGTGGCTAAGTAGATGTTAGTTCAAGTCACATTGCTAGTATGTGGTGGAACTGTGACTTGAACCTAGCCCCTCTGACACCAGAGGACCTACTCTCAATAATTATGGAGAAAAGCTATAAATTCAAAATGAGAATGGTAAGTGTAGCAAGTCTAAAAATTATTTCCTCAACCTTTATTGTCATGAGTTTATTTACATTTTGTTTGCATGTTTATGTTCAGTTTTAGCAAAGTACAATCTGCTTCAGTACAGTGTACTTTAGCAAAGTACAAAGATATTTCAGAGGGCTTATTTATGGGGGTTATTATTCCATAACACTCTTAAGTGATGCTAATAGCTTTCTTTTTTTCTTTCCTTGATAGTAAAAAACCCCTTTGATGGAACATTTGGAGAAATACAAGTAAGTAAAAGATTATAATACTGATATTTGGTGCCATATTTTTATATGATTAAAAGTATTAGGATCACTATCAACTAAAAACATAGTGATTTTTAGGTTGTTTTAGGTCGAAGAAGCAATTGTTTCTTATTCTGATTATTCCTTAACTATTGTTTAATTAAATCTGATACAGATTTGCTCTGATGAGCTAAACTGTTTATTATTACTTTAACGTAAAAGCCAGCTTCCAAGTAAAAGGTGGTGGCGTGTCCTCTGGGGATCTGGTCTTACCCTTAGAAGTATGCCTGTTGTCTTAAGATGTTAGATTCCCTAGTGGTCTTTGTCATCTTCGCCCTCATCTTATCTCTCTGTGGATCATTTGCACATTGGCATGCCTCTTCAATCATCAAGAAGGCAAAGGTTTTAAATACGAGATATATCCCTTAGGTTAGCCATTTATGATTCCTTTTCCCTTTAAAGGATGCTAAATGTTAATTGTAACATAAATTTTATTTACATGAAAACATTTTTCACTTATTATAGGCACTTTGAAGATTTTGAACTTAAAATATTTTACACAATTAGTTGTTAATTTTTTCTGTTATAGGAACTGTCACACAGACCTATATAGAAAACATTATTTGTTATACTGAAGGCTACATAATAATGTGTAATCAGATCTGCGGAATATTTCTTTAGATTGTTAGAGTGGAACTTTGAAATGATTATTTTTAGCAATATGCTGTTGTGATACTTGCCTTTAAAAAAAATTACCTTATCAGTGGTTAGATTAAATATAACCCTGATGCTGGCATCATCATTTAAATTTAATATAATATGATCGCTGAACATTGGAAACACAAGACTTTTTCTTTTAATTTTCCCAATGGGGGAAACTGAAGTTCTGAACCTCTGAATGATAGTAATAATTATAGTGAATATAATGGCAGTCCATTTATATTAAGTGCGATGCTAAGTGTTTAAAATCCATTATTGTCATTTAGTCAGAGATTTGATACAAATGATCAAGATATCTTTGAGGAGAAAATTGATTGAGAAAAGAAGATGGAAATATTTAAAGGTGGCAGAATATGAGAAAACTTACAAAGTTACCCTACAAGTTTGATCTTCCTCCCCCTCACCCCCAAAGAATAAGCACTTTGCTTTAGAGAATGATACGGGTTGCTTAAAGAAAATCTGAACCTTACCAAAATAGACAATTAAAAGGCTCTTTCAAATTGTAAAATTATTTTTTTTAATGAAGGGTTACTTGATAGGTTACTTTAAGTATGGATTTATTTATACATCTTTAACTAGTTGGCAGGGTGGTTAGGGAAGTCAATAGTTAGACATAACTATTTAGATCATAATGTGGTTGATTGGATGACACTTGAGGCCCTTATAATATATAGATGGCTATTTTAAATAAATTGCCATTGGAAAAAAAAATTCTTGAAAAAAATTCTAGTTTGTGTTCTTTGCAGGCTTAAATTCTTTGTATGAGAATGTAACCGTATGTGTGTTATCTTATACAGTTTGAGATCTAGTTATAGCTGGGTAAAAAAAAAAAAAAAAACCCAAACCCATTACTGTCAAGTCAATTCTGACTGATAGCGACCCTGTAAGACAGAGTAGAACTGCCGCATAGGGTTTCCAAGGAGCAGCTGGTGGATTTGAACTGCCGACCTTTTGGTTAGCAGCCAAGCTCTTAATTACTGAATGACTAGAGCTCCTATATCTTGTTAGGTTTTGTTATTCTACTTATCTAGTCCAGTGTTAATGTTTGTGAATCAAAAAATAAAGTTCGATCCCAGGTCTCTGATTTTCATTAAAGATGTAATCACAGAGGACAGGTGCCACATTTTCGAGTTCTGTTTGTTTTTGAAAGGGAGATTGGGATTGGGCATGATCAGGACATGTGAAACAAAAAGGAAATCAGTCTCTTTTCCAAATAAGAGAGGAAACAAACTTCAAGAATCGAATCTCAGCTACTTTAATCCCAAAGTTTAATCAGATTCACCTTGCTTTTATGTTTCAAGTCCACAGACTACACTATCTTTGGAAGTCCTCCTCATCCTGTTATGTTGAACGTATTTATTAAAAGCAATTTTGTAGTTTAATGTATCACAAATGCATAGCTTTCAGAATCCTGGGTCTTAGCCCCTACAGTTACTTACTTGATTTCTGACTTTTACAGTTTGGATTTTTAAGCTTATGTGAAGATAAGGACTGGCTTGATTCAGAATCTGGTTGTGACAGAGTTGAGGAGAAAAAAACAAGAAGATTGGAAAGCAAGTAGTCAAGCTGAAGGACAAATAACTTCTCTCTCGTCAGTCAGCTCACACAAATCCAGATTCTAGTGGTGGGGTCTTGGAGCCTTTGATGAGATTTCTTATTCCTAGTATCACTGATGAAAGCTGTGTATGCTCTGCCTGTCTGCACTGCACATTGCAGACAGGCTGTGTCTCAAACTTCCAGGCAGCTATAAGACTGCTAGGAATGAGACACATAAACCCACTGGTATCAACCATTTTATGGGTGCTACATTCATCTGTGATCGAGTCAGACATGCGAGAGACTTTCACAGTGTTGGTAAAGTGAAAGCCATTATTATTACAGTAAAACCTATGAAAGCTGGAGCCTGTGTAAGGCGGAAAGCTGTCAGAGAAGGAGAATGCAAATATTTTCCAGTAAAAGAAGCGGTGGAAAGGTGGTTAGACTGCATCTCATCAAAGGCGGGAAAACTTGCGAGACCTGGAAAAACAAGGCAGTCCCAAATTCTGGCTTTCACACGTTTCACTAGATTTGTAGAAAACAGTCAGTAAACAATAACAACAGATTTTCAAAGGGGAAATCCTTACCTTTCCTCATCTGCCCATGTCCATTCTTACATAGGTGGGCAGGTGCACCGTGGTTCAGATTAGATATTGTGTTCATGTCACTGCTGCCCCTGGCTACCACCGTGCTGCTCAAGGCTTCTGCTGTGCCCTTGGGCCTCACTGGGCCTTGCCTTGCCAGGATCTCCCAAGCCTCTGCCGCTAGGCCCTTCTAAACTTCTGCTGCCAGCTCCTGCCATGCTACCTGGGCCTGTGGGGCTTTCTTGCTGCCAGGCTACCTGGGCCCCCGCTGGCCATGGGAGAAGAAGGCATACAACCTCTGCACGCGGTACGCTCACGCCTCTCTTGACCTGCACAAGCAAATGTTAAACAACTCTTTTAGCTCTGCTGGCAAGCCTTCTGCCCAGAGGCATCTGGCTCCGCCCAGCTGTCGGAAAACCCCTGCACAGGATCCTCTGAGGCATTCCCTGCACAGGACATGTGCAGGTCTCTGCCCTGCATGGGCAAGTGTTAACAGCTCTCTTGGCTTGGCCCACAAGCCTCCTGCCAAAGGTGCTCAGCTCTCGCTCTGTGGGCCAGCAAGCCCACTGCTGCTGTCTCTTGCCATCCTGCGCCTTCTTCAGTGTTACAGCTCTTTTGGGTCTAGGAGATTCTCAGTGCAGAGACCTTGGGTCCTTGGTCTGGAGGGCGTGCTCCGCTTCAGTCTTCTTCATGGTAGTGAGGTCCCCTTAACCTTTGTGGGATTAACCCTTATATAAGTAAACTCTTTGTCAGTTTCAAGGCATGGCCCTCCTGACAGGACCACGCACTGACCAGTCCCCTAGGTAGGCCATAAGTCATTCAGTTTGCATAGTCACAACCAATCATTTTGTGGGAGTTACAAGACCATGACGAGAAAGGCCATGTAAAAGCAGTTCATTGCGCCACAGACTGCACTGACAAAAGCATGCCACCCATAGTGTGCAAAAGTTGTTCTCTTCTGCCCCTGAACATACAGCATGAAAACAAATGGATGAGGTTGCATTAGGCATATGTTATTTTCTGGCTTTTTATAATGTCCTGAGTTTGCTCCCTGGTCATATTCATTCAGTAATCTTGTTTGGTTAGACACTTGAGGAAGAAAGGAAATAATAAAGACACAATTCCGTTATGAATCATGAGTTTATTTCAGATAGTGCGATAGTTATTACCTCTCACTCATATGGCTCCCTCAGTGGCGCAGTGGTTAAAGCATTCACCTGCTAACCTAAAGTTTGGCGGTTCAAAGCCAGGAGCCGCTCTGTGGGAGAAAGATGTGACAGTCTGTTTCCGTAAAGATTCACAGGCTTGGAAACCCTGTGGGGGCAGTTCTCCTCTGACCAATAGGGTCTCTGAGTCAGAATTGACTTGCCAGCAGTGGGTTTTGTTTATGTGGGTCCCTTTCAATTGCAGTTGCTCTTAAATTGGATGTCTCATTGTTTTAGACTCCTTGGCAGGGTGCTTACGCTATACCATTGCACTAGTCTCCACTGGATTCCTTTCATACAGTTATTTCTGCTTGTGGGCTAACCTATACCTTATGGCCAGAGTAATATTCCTGAAGCATAAGTCTGTTTTACTTTCCTCCTCCTAAATTTTCTGAATGAAGTCGGGCTCTTTGTTTTGGCATCCAGGGCTCTGGGGCAGTTAACTCCAGACCACTTTTCCAGTAGTTTGCTGAGTGAAACTAGGCTACTGGTTATGTAAGAAATATAATCAATAATTTTATGCTTCGATGCTTTTGCGCATGCTGTTTTGCCTGGAATTCTGGTCAATTCTGTTCTTCCTGTGAAGCCCAATTCATACTCTCTTCCATAAATGAGTCTTCCCTTTCCCTCCTCTTCTGTATTTGCATTATACTTTGTTTGCAACTGTAATATAACACTTAGTAAGTATCTGCCCTTGAGAACAGGAAGCTTCTTGTTTATTGGGTCTTTGTGGAAAACAGTTCTCCTGGTAGATACTTATTAAATGTTTGTTTCACTTTAATGGTTCATAAGTTTATACAGTGCCACTTTGGGAGCCCAGGAGAGGTTGAGGGTCAGTCACTGTGTCAGCACTCGTTTGGTTATTTTTATGTGGTTTGAGTCAGATTTAAAAAAAGTAGCAACAAGACAAAGGGCAACTTCGAAGAAAAAGTCTTTCATAAGAACAATATACATAAGGATGCAATGTATAGAAGGGAGATCGGGAGCATTGCTTTGGTGGTGGGGGGTGGGAAGTTCATTGTGTGTGAGACTTTTTTTTTAGCACTAATCTTAGTGCCAAATTTTCAACCATCCTCAAGAAAGTAAAATATTTAGAGTGATAACTTAGATTTCTAGATTACGGTATCTTTAAATATAATGGCCATTGTTTAAATATGAATTTGTCTTTTGGATTATGTAACTTCTAGGAGTTTAAATTTTTTTAAATGAGATCAATTATTTGGCACATATTTTTTCTTGGAATTAGACATTTTATAATAACTTTTCTTAATTTTAGGAAAGTAAAAAAAATCTTATGATGAACACATTATACAAGCTTCATGATCGATTGGCACAGCTTGCAGGTAATTGTTTTAACATTCATAGTCTCAGAATCTTTGGAAAAATTAATTTGCATATGTAGCATGCTGTAACAGTAGAAGTAGTTTTTCCTAAGTCCAGTGTTATATTTGTGGATTATTTTCTCTTTAGAAGTTTTTACTACCTATATGGAGTGGTTTTTTAAAATTTTTGTAGGTATATTTAATCAAGGCCTCTTCCTTTCTGCCATATGTGTTATGTCTAACTTGTACAGACATCCATGCATACTGTGTTGTATAATTTTAAAGTGAATCAAGTTTCTTTATTGCATTAATAGTAACAAAAAATTCTGAAAGCTTAAATATCAGTTGAATTGGGTAGGCAATGAATTAACTAAAATCCTAGATTAAATAAAAGTGCAAATTCTTTTTTGGTGGTTGTATAGATGTCATTCCCTTGGATAAAATATTTTCCTAGAATTTGTTTTTTATGATTCATTGCATTTTCCTTATATTCCACTCTTAGTAAGTCTTTGAGAGCTCTTAGATATGAACATATCTGCAATTAGAATAATTTATTATAGGTGAATTGGTATCAAGTGTAGTGTATATAAGTTTTAATAGATGCAGATTTATTACCTTCTAACTTTTTTATTTATTGTTAGTTCATATATAGCTTGAAAGAAAAGGCTTCAGATTCTCTTCTTATAATCAGTTACAAGAAATGAAAAATGTAGTTTTTCAAATTGTTGTGCACAGCAGATCCCTTTTGTACCTTTATAGAAAGCAGATTGTAGATAGAAGCCTAGTAGGTAAAAGTGGAACTTCTCTGGTTGAATAGGGGCATTTAGGATCCTGACAGTTCCCTGTGCTATCACCAATCTTTTTTTTTTTTGAAGGGGGAGTCCTTAATTCTAGCCAATTTTTTAGGCTTATAATTCTGTGTATATCACTAACAGCATTCTTTGCACTGACTGGACAATAATATTCATATGTTGCAAGCTAATGACATCTATTTGGTATGCTATAGCACCCAGAAATGGGTTAAGTGTATACTGTAGCTAGGAATTCTGTTGTTGCTACCACAAGCTTCTACAGCTGTTTCTATAGAATTGTTTTATGAAGTGTGGTCCATGGCCCACTAGATCAGCATAATCTAGGGCACTTTTAGATATATAAATTCCTTCTTATGAAGCAGGGGTCAGCAAACTTTGCTGTGAAGGACCAGATGGTAGATATTTTAGGCCTTGCAGATGAGACTATGTCACAACTATACAACTCTGCCGTTATAGTATGCAAGCAGCCATAGATACTACATAAATGAAGGAGTGTGGCTGTGTTCTAGTAAAACTTCATTTATAAAAACAAGTAGCAGATCAGATTTGGCCCATAGGCTGTAATTTGCTGACTTCTGCTGTAGATGTATGGAATCTGAATCTCTGAGAATGCATTGTAAAGTTCAAAGAATTATTCATCTAATTGGGAACTTCTTCCCTTTTTATAGCTACCACTATTAAAATCTGACTATTCAAACGGAACTGATAAGAACTTAGTTACTTTTATTACAGAAGAATTTGCCAAGAATTTCATTTTAATTATAGTACTGTCATGTTAAAATTTTTTTGTAAACTGCTTGACAGAAACGGTAGGAAAAACTTAGAATTGAAGTTCAGTAATGAGGATAATTGATCTCTAATAATCACATACAGCCTAAAACACAAGGCTTTGGATTCCCTTCTTATAAACAGTTACAAGAAAAGAAAAACTGTAGTTTTCCAAACTTTTGTATTCAGCAGATTATCTCCATTGTAGAAACCCAGTCATAGGTAGAAGCCATAGAAAGAAGCTTCAGCCTAGTTTCCCTGTTGATCTGTGTTATAACAATTTTTAAGGCATACACACCTCTTGCTAAATGTAGCTTAGTTATACTGAAAATGCACATATTTTAATTCAATAATAAATTCCAACTTATTTGAACCATTGAGTTATTAGCTTTGGGAAGAGATAGATGTGTGAGTTTGCACAATGAATTTGCTGAATTTTCCACCATCAGAAATAATACCTAATACCTATCTGTGGAGGGCCTTTGGTGTGGATTGGCATCAGTATGACATGGTTCCTTCCCTGGCTTACAATCTAGTTGAGAAAGTAAGAGGACGATATGTTCCTGTATAGACTGAAATGAATTTAAAGGTGTGGCTTATGTAATGGTAGTTTATATCACTTACTGGGGTTTTTTAATAAAAAATATAAATAGTATTGTTGATATTCTTTCTTTACTGATTATAATATAACCTATAACTGTAATTTGTAAAATATTTTAATCTTATTTGTTTTATTCTGTTTCACATAATACTGATTCAAAACTAATAATATGTTAATCTTTCCAGGAGATCATGAATGTGGCAGTTCTAGCCAGAGAACGCTTTCTGTCCAAGAGGCAGCTGCATATTTAAAAGTAAGCAGTAAAATTAGAATTTTAATAGTTATATTCTTAAAGTTTGTATGAATCATTACTACTTATATCAAAAGTATCATGCATTTGATTACTTTAATTGTATTGTTAAAAGTTTGGGCCTACTATTTGGTATCAGTGTAAGCAGATGGAGAAAGCAGAATTGGTCAACATTTTTTGTTTTAGTTTGTTTTAGAACATTCTTTGAGAGAATGTATATTAATATGGAAAGTGTACAAGCAACATTGGTAAGAGTACCAGTTGAGATAGGTGAGCAGCATGTATGCAAGCAAGTAAGTATCTAACTTTTGTCATTTATTTCAATAATTTTGTCTCAGGGTACTGAGAGAACGTGCTGATGAATTTGCTAAACTACTGTAAGTAATCTTTGGGAAATTTGATGACAGGAAAGGTACTGGAAGGTAAAGATGGACAAGTGTTATTCTGATTTTAAAAGGGGGAAAGTAGATTTTGAAAACGATACTAGAGAGCTTGATGTCAGTCCAATTAAGATAATTCCATAAAGATGTGAGTACTTCCAAATGGAAATGAAACTGGCATGGGTTCACTGTCATATACATGTCATGTCATACAAACTTCATCCCCCTCACCTTTTTATTTAAATTAGGAATATAGTATATGATTTTTTATTTAAATCAGCAAGGTTTTGGTGACAGTCTCTCATGATATGCTTTTCAAAAATGAGAAACGTGGATTGAGTTTTTAAACTTAATTCATGGCTTATATGTAGATACCCAAAAGATGCTAAGACAAGGTAATGTGAAGATTAGATCTGGATTCAGATTCCAGCACTGCTACATAGAAGATCTGTATCTCGGTAAAGTTCCTTAACTTTTCTGCACCCATCTGTCTTAGGCTGAGTTCTCTAGAGGTGCAGATCAGTGAAGAGTACACACACACACACACACACACACACACACACACACACACACCCCCCACATATACACACACATACATACACATACACACACACAGAGTGGGAGAGAGAGAGGTTGATTTATATCAAGGAAATGGCTCACACAGTTCTGGAGGCTGGCAAGGCCCAAATCCATGGGTCAGACATAAGGCTGGAGGCTTCTCCTGATTCGACGAACCCAAAATCGGCAGGTCAGACAGCAGGCTGCTGGCTCACAGGGCTTTGGGAGCTGGCAAAGCCCAAAATCTGCAGGTTAGATGGCAGGCTGCTGGCTCATATCCCAAGAACTGGAGATCAGAGGATGACAGGTTGGATGCAGGATCCAGAGAGCATGAGCTTTGCTAGAGCATCTATGTATATTGGATGCAGGCCGCACCCCAAAGGAACTCCCCTTTCAACTGCTCGGCTGTTCCTATCAGATCACAAAGTGGAGGATGATTGCATAATATCTGCCAAACCCCTGAAAATCATGGCCTAGCCAAGTTGACACATAACCTTAAACAGCACAGTCCACCCCTTGTCAAATTGGCACCTGTGCACGTCTCCTTAAACCATATATAATCTCTGAGTAAAGACAATTATTGTCATTACTTGCGCCTAACATGGTACAACTAGCATGTATGCAACTGAAAATGCACTAGCCCATTTACATCTTATATTTTATAATAAGTAATAGAATAAGGCAGGGAAGAAAACAAAGATATTTGCAATATATATGCAGTCATGCACTGCATAATGTCCATTCGGGCTATCTCCAACTGCATATAAGTCTGTGGTCCCATAAGGTAATATGGGGAAATCAGCTGTGTGTTTACAGCATTTGTGACCTCAGTGCTTACTTGCTTACTGGTGGCCAGCTATTGAAGTGTGCAGGCCTCCCATGCTGAGCTGTGCTGACAATCGCTTAGCAACATGAGGTGGGAAGTTTGCATGCTTCACATTTGTTATTCCAATTGCCCACCTCGTATTGCTAAGCAATTGTTTGTTGACCCTGCACACACTACTCAGCATGGGAGGCTTGTGCGGCCACCAGTGAGTGCTGCAGTTGCAAATGCAGTAACCACGCCATTGATTTCTCCATATAACCTTATGGGACCACAGATGTATATGTGGTCAGAAGTTGCCCAGATGCATGTTACGCAGTGTGTGACTGTATGGTGTTCACACAACATCCAAATCACATAATGTCCTATTTCACAAGCACCTAAGCTGGTCATGGTTCTTTGCCTGGTGGAATGACACATACCTTCATTCCTGAAGGGTCTTGGCCATTAAGTAGTCATGTTGGAATTGCTTTGCTGTAGTTTTCCATTGACTTTAGTCACAGGACATGGTTAGTACTAAGAGACGTCCTAAGATCTCCTGTATTCTAGACGTACTCCTCTTCACCTCCATTATGTAATATCAATCTGATTTCCCCTTGGTAGTTAGGATCAATCACACTAGCCAATACAGTAACTCCCTTCTTTGCTTGTTGATCCAGAGGCATTAAGAGCCCAAAGTGGCCAGGTGGCATTCTTAACTTCCAGTTCAGTTGAATCAGTGTTGTGTCTCCTGGTAGGAGCATTCCTCTTTTGGAACTAAGACCTCTAGACCCACAGAGCACAGGGTCCTGGGGACAGGAAGCAAAATGCGAGTGGGTCACTAGGAGTAATAGCGAGTGGTGCCACTCCCATTTCCACCCCTTGATTCGTGGACCCATGAATCTTGGCTATGGAAGAAACAGCACCATATATTGGGTACTGATTTAGAGCATCTACAGCTTCCTGGAGAACATTGCCCAAATCTTGCAATGTATTGCCACCTATCTGGTGCCATAATTGCATCTTTAGAAGGCCATTCCATTGTTCTGTCAAGCTGAGTGCTTCAGGATGATGGGGAGCATGGTAAGACCCGTGAATTCCATGAGCATGGGCCCATTGCCATACTTTATTTGCCGTAAAGTGAGTCCCTAGATCTGTTTCGGATACCATGACAGTGGCTAAGGCATTCTGGAAGTCCATGGGTGGTAGTTTTGGCAGAAGCATTGTGTGCAAGAAAGGCAAATCCATATCCAGGGTAAGTGTCTGTTCCAGTAAGAGCAAAACACTGCCCTTTCCATGATGGAAGTGGTCCAGTGTAATCAACCTGTCACCAGGTTGCTGGCTGATCACCTTGAGGAATGGTGCCATATCGGGGATTCATTGTTGGTCTTTCCTGCTGGCAGATTGGGCATTCAGCAGTGGCTGTAGCCAAGTCTGCTTTGGTGAGTGGAACTTCGTGTTGCTGAGCCCATGCATAACGTCTGTCCCTGCACCATGGCCACTTTGTTCATGAGCGCATTGGGCAGTGGCGGGAGTGGCTAGGGAAAGAAGCTGTCTGGTATTCACAGAACACGTCATCCTATCCACTTGATTGTTAAAATCCTTCTCTGCTGAGGTCACCCTTTGGTGAACATTCACATGAGACACAAATATCTTCACTTCTTTGGCCGTTTCAGAGAGATCTATCCACATGCCTCTTCCCCATACCTCCTTGTTAGCAATTTTCCAATCATGTGCCTTCCAAGTCCCTGACCATCCAGCCAAACCATTGGCTACAGCCTGGGAGTCTATAAAATCATACATCTGGCTATCTCTCCTTCCAAGGAAAATGAACAACCAGGTGTACTGCCAAAGTTCTGCCCACTGGGAGCGTTTCCCTTCACCACTGCCGTTCAGGGAGGTCCCAGAAAGGGGCTGCAGTGCTGCCGCCATCAACTTCTGAGTAGTGCCTGCATATTGCACAGAACCATATGTAAACCAAGCATGAGTTTTCTCTTCCTCAGTCAACTGTTTGTAAAGAACTGTGCGTGAGCCCATAGTTGCAGACTGGGAGAAGGAAGGTAATGTGACAAGAGTAGGAACAATGGGCATTTGGGCCACTTCCATGTAACTTATTTATTCCTTCAGGTTGAGCCTGACCTTGTATATACCACTTCTATTTAATGATGGAGTGCCGCTGTGCAGATCGACTTTATAACTCTGTGGGTCAGATAACACCGAGTTCATGATGTGTAGCTCAGGCTGTATAGTGACTTGGTGGCTCATGGTTAAACGTTCAGTCTCTTCCAGGGCCTAGTAACAAGCCAAAAGCTGTTTCTCAAAAGGAGAGTAGTTATCTACAGTGGTCAGCAGAGCTTTGCTCCAGAATCCTAGGGGTCTGTGCTGTAATTCATCAATAGGGGCCTACCAAAGACTCCAAACAGCATCTCTATCTGCCACTGACACTTTAAGAACCGTTGGATCAGCCAGATTATATGGCCCAAGTGGCCGAGTGGCTTTAATGGCAGCTTGAACCTACTGCAGAGCCTTCTCTTGTTCTGGGCACCTCTCAAAACTAGCAGCATTTCGAATCACTTGATAAATAGGCCAGAGTAGCTCACTCAAATAAGGGGTATTTTGCCTCCAAAATCCAAGGAGACCCACCAGGCATTGTGCCTCCTTTTTAGTTGTAGGAGAGGCCAGATGTAACAACTTAACCTTCACTTGAGAAGGAATATCTTGATATGCTTCATACCACTGGACCCCTAGAAATTTCACTGAGGGGGAAAGCACCTGAAGTTTTGTCAGATTAATTTCCTACCCTCTAGCATGCAAATGTCTTACTAATAAGTCTAGAGTCATTGATATTTCTTCCTTACTACGTCCAAATAGCATAATGTCATCATCAATGTAATGGACCAGTGTGATCTCTTACGGAAGGGAAAGGCAATCAAGGTCCCTGCAGACTAAGTTATGACATAGGGCTGGAGAGTTGATAGGCCTGTGAGGTAGGACAGTGAAGTATATTGCTGGCCTTGCCAGCTGAAGGCAAACTGCTTCTGGTGGTCCTTCGAAACAGGTAGGGAGAAAAAGGCATTAGCCAGATCAATAGCTGCGCACCAGGTACCAGGAGATGTATTAATTTGCTCAAGCATTGAAACCACATCTGGAATAGCAGCTGCAATTGGAGTCATCACTTGGTTAAGTTTCCAGTGATCCATCTGTTTTTTGCACAAGCCATATAGGAGAGTTGAAAGGGGATTTGGTGGGAATCACCACCCTGC